ATGTGTTTACTAAATCTAATACCCATTTTAGTATTTGTTTATAATAAGAATTTTTGTAATACCACTTATTAATTCTTGTTAGAATAATCAAGAAACTATAACATAATCACAACAGTGTTTAGTTCATCAAGAAATATCAATAGAAAGTATTGATTATATAAATTAGTAAATGAATTACAAATTCAAACTTTATTAAAAAAGCTTTCTTTTTGTTTTAAGATGTTTTATAATATCTTTCTTTTTAACAAATCGCTTTACTGATTCAATTATTACTTTTATGATATCACTTGATACATAAATAAATGACATAATAATCTATGCTTAAAAGTTAATAAAAGTATTGTTAATTATTTCTTCACTGTAATATTACAAATAATATATTTAAAATGAAATTATAGTCAACAAAAAAAAACATTTAATGGATTTATATGACCATTTAAAACACTATAAAAGTATAATACATATTATTTATGAGTGTAAATGAAAGAAATAATATAAAGAAATAATTTTAAAAATAACATCTGATTTGATAACAATATAAATTGTGTTTGAAAGTTTAGTGTAATAAGAATAAAAAGAATTATTTTAATCATATGGAATTCAGAAGAATGTTATTAGTATGAATATTTTATATGGAATTATTTATTGTAACCATTCATTAAGTTATTATTAAAATGTTATTTTGTGTATGTATCAACTTATTGTTCATGAACTTAAATATTATTATTCATTATTTATTTAAAAATAAATAGCTTCTAATATTTCAAATTAAATAACAGAACATGCAAAGAAAAGTATCATTTGTATTATATTTTATTATCACCATAAAAGAAGAAACAATAAATCATTCTAATTTTGTTTAACAATTTTAATTCTAAGAATCACTCAAAAGTGGTTATAAAAAATTAACAAATATTTAAAAGAATAAGAAGACAAATTAATTGAATTTACTCATCAATCGAAATTATATTATAATGTTAAAGTACTTAAAAAGAAAGAATCATTTATTCATTAGAACCTTTATTTATTATTGAAACAAAACGCTTTTTTTAATTTAAATGATAGAGTCTATGCTAATTTATATAACAATGAACACTTTGAGAATACAATCATATTTTATTGTGATTTTTTGTATATATTTAAAAACAACTGTTTATCAATTAGTTTAAAATTAAAAAAAAAAGTATTAAGCTTATGTCATATGTCCTAGTGAAACATTTAATGTTTAGTGTTCATGTATCAAGGTAACAGGAAGTACATTAAAAATATTTTCATTTAATTTGTTTTAACACGAGAATATCAAAAAAATAAAATTTCGTTATATATATCAATATAATAAATTTAAAAAAAAAAAGAAAAATTTAAAAAATAACACAAAAATAATAAACAACAGAAAATGGAAGAAGTTATCAAAAGAGGTGATGGAAGAGAGGCAAATGAAATTCGTGCAACAACAATCAAAGTTGGAGTGATTAGTGGAGCAAAAGGAAGTTGTTTAATACAAAAAGAAAATAGTAAAGTTATATCATCTGTACAAATCAAAACACAAGACGAATCAATAGATTTTGAATTTACAGTAAAAGTGACATTTGCCCAATTTGAGAATAATAGTCTATTCAACAATAGAAAAGAAATTGAACTTCAAGAAATCTTAACACAATCATTAACTTCTCGTATTAATCAAGAAAGCAACAAAGGAAAAATTATTTGTTTACAAGTATTTGTTATGGAACAAGATGGAAGTGTTGAAGATAGCATAATCAATTCTAGTTCATTAGCACTATTTGATGCAGAAATTCAAATGGATAGCATTATTATTGCAACACAGTTGTTAAATTGCCATATATAAT